TGTAAAATTTGAGTTTAGTGATCTCCTTCAAAACTGGGTTAGAAATAGAAGTCCAACCTCCTTGAAGCTCTGGCAACCATTCTTCCTTATGGACAAGACAACAACGGAGTTTGGAATTCCTACCAAGTTACATTTGCTTAAGTGAGATGCACGATTAAAATTCATTTATCTGAATCTTTCATAATAGGAAAAGGCCTATATCGAGAAGATTTCCTTGCTTTCCTGTTATTCAATTTAGCATCATTAGAGAAATATGCATCAGAGACAGTGGTTTAGACTGAAGGGGTACTCTGTGGAACAGGTCCCTGCAAATAATGCCCTATGCGGATAATATAGATATTACTAGGAAGGTCAAGAAAGGTAGTAATTGAGGCTTTTTCAGCTCTCGAATCTTCTGACACAAGTATAGACCTCACAGTCAAACAGGATAAAACCAAAATTCATGGAAATTACACTCTCCATAGTAAACAATCGTAATCCAATATGTATTAGCGGCTACACCTTAGAAAAGGTTGAGGAATTTAAATATCTTGGCACTATAATTAATGACAAAAATAAGAGCAGAAATTGATAATAGAATTAAAATGGCTTATAAATGCTTCTTTGTGTTAAGATGACAATTAAGATATAATCTCGTAAGTCTAAAACAAAATTATGAACATACAAAGACACTAATACTATCTGTTTTACTCTATACAAGTGAAACGTGGACTTTATTTCATTTTCAATATAATGGTCACTGAACATGCTTGAAAGAAAAATGTTCAAAGCAATTTTTTACTCAGGAAGAGGGATGTTCTGAGAAAGACATAACTTTTTATTGCACAAGCTTTATAGGCAACCGAAAATAACACAAGTCATCTGTAGTAATAGATTACGATGGTCGTGCCATGTTTGGAAAAGCCAGGAAAATAATTCCACTAAGATCTTGAAATTCAAAACATCAGCTAAAGGAAGACCACCGACTAGATGGTTAGATAATATTGAAAAAAAACTTTGAAAATAAAATTTAAAAAAAACTTTTTTTTTAACTTTTCAAATAAACAATTGGAGAGGAGTCGCTGCAGATAGAAGACTTTCAAAGATGTTAAGAAACAGGAATTTGCAATAAAATACAAAGTATTTGTGTTTTATTTTCAACTGAACCTTTACTTTTGGCCTTTGTTAAGATGAATACGAAACATCTTCAATTTTCTGAAGTTATATTTAAGTTTTACTTTTTGTTATATATTTTGTAACATTCTGAAATACGTATACAGTTCTTAGCCTGATAGAGATAATATTTAAATTTATAAGAAATATAACTGAAGATCACAAAGCATCCTAAAACTTTTAATAGCTTTGATTGCCTTAAACTGGAAGAAAAGAAATAAGCACATTTAAACATCATCATTAAAATATTATTAAATTTCATTACCTTAAATAAAAGCCAAACATAAGAATATTTAATCTTTCTATCCACAGACACTACAATTTTGTAAAAACTATCATTAAATTAATAATGAAGAAAAACCAAATATCTTCCTACTGATAGTTTATTGTTAAGATATTCTATAAAATCAAAATGTGAAAAAATTTGGATGGAATTTAACCACAAAATGAATGAAAATAAAACAGAACATAACAGATTATTTATCAAACTTCATTTGACATAAATAAAGACATAATTCAGTAAAATTAATTTCATTATTCTATTTGTATAAAGAAAAATACAAATGCATTCAAAATTATCACATTTCAGTAAAAAAATTAACATATTTTTATTTTAATTTTTTAAAAAGAATTTTTAAATACATTCAAATTTTTATGATTAAAATAACAATAATAAATTGAATGATTCAGTCAACATTGAATTAAAAGCAACATGTTAAAGTATAAAAAATTACTAGATAACAAAAAAAATTTTTTTTTTACCGTTCAAAGACTAAAAAAGGATGAAGATACTAGAGAAAGTACAACATTTAACTTCAAAATGCAAAAGAATACTTGAAAAATTAGAGTTCCAATTATTAAGACTAACTGGGACGAAAATCTATCTGTAATGGTTTATGCCTGCTGAAACTTGACATTTGTCCTTCAAAATAAGTATTCTGAATTTCAGAAGGGAAATAAACCATTTGCTTTGACTCAGTATTTCCAAATGTAAAACAAGATAATTTAAAAAGAATAAATTTTATGTGTTTGCACAATTGCCTTTTTTTAAACCCAGAAAAATCTCAAATATCATCCAAAACATATTAGTTTAATACTTTTCCTCTTTAATAACTTCTGTTCCTTCAATCAGTCTCATTCAAATGCAAATTAAGTGGATTTTGAATACTGAGAAAATGTTTATTTTATTGCGAGAGTTTAGTAATACACAAGGAGTGCAATTTATTCTAAAAGCACTCCACTTGAACACAAATCTGGGTTCTGGTGAGTATTTTCTTGTATTTGCTAAGAAGTATCTCTCTTTAGCATCAGTTACGCTTCACTAGGGTATACTATACATTACTGGAGACGTATCATGAGATTGGCGACTAAAGACACTACCGGAAAGCAGAGGAAATTAACAAGCTATAAATTTTCATTTGAAAGATAAACTGTTACTCTTTGGTTTCTCAGAAACAAGAATGTGCATGAAGATATAAAGATTTAAGGACCACCTTAATAAGCTAAACGAAAATTTCTGCCATAATGCCGAAACAAATCATGCTGCAAGTTTTGCTGGAACTTAAACGACAGAATTTTTCCAGCAGTTTACTTTTCAAGATGCTACACAGCACATCTATTTGACATGTTAGACCTATAAAAATAATATTTGGTTTACATTATCATCATCTCTCCTGCAAAGTTTTTAAGTGTAGGAACATATCCTTCTTTATCTTAGGCATTTTTAATTTTATCTCATTTCTTTCCATGTAAATGTTAGTGCAGTGGATAGTGCTCAGTATTGTAGAGGTTCAGATGAACGGCTCAAGTCCATGTGTGCCAAAAATAATATATTTTTCTCTGCATTTATGTCTCTACAGTTAACTTCTAAAGATTTCAAATCTATTAATTAATGCTATGTTTTATCATATTAAAATGAAAAATACATATCTGACCCTCTTCAACACATAACCTATAAATAAATTAGCATATACAGTCAAAAGTCGTTAATTCGGACACCCATAATCCGGACCTCAAAGCTAAAAACTTTCTGCGCATGCGCCGCGTTGACACGTGCGCATGGCATTTACGCATGCGCGTAAGACCTTCACGATTGCGCATATGTGTGTGCGCAAGTGCAGAATATGTTTTCGCACGTGCGTTTAATGTATAACGGATGGTATAAGCTAAAATTATCTAATTATCTATTTCAGTTAATATTGATGATTGCGTTGTTCCTTAATCTTCGAACTGGATCCGGCTTATTACTTTTTTCAGACTGTAAGAGCAATTTTATAAAAGTAAACTTGAACTTTCGATTATGTCAAATAGAATTTCCGATGCTGGAGCTCCCAAAGGATCTTCAAAACGAAAGTATGTTTCGATGTCCATCAAACAAAAAGTGGAATTGCTGCAAAAAATGGATAAAGACACGAAGAAGGTGACAGAGAGGTTAGTGAAAACAAAAGAATTTCGATTGAGAAGTTAGTCGGTATTCTCGGCACAGCAATTACGGGACTTGAACAGCGGAACTTTGTAGCTGAACAAGAAATTATGTCTGTTTATAGAATTAAAGAGAAGTATTATCACATAAAACGAAGCAACTTAAACAACTTACATTGAAGAATGTTTAATAAAGTAAACAAATAAATATTAAACTTTTTTTTTTTTTTTTAAATTTTGATACCCTTTAGATCATAATTGTTCTTTATTTCATAAATTACGGTTTCATATTTTTAATTTTAGAATTTCTGCATGCCATTTTACGAGATTTAAACTGATGATCTATAATCTGGAAAAATCGATAATCCAGAATCGCCGAAGTCCCGACGAGTCCGGATTAACGACTTTTGACTGTATTACTGTTTTTAAGTTAGTGCCAGCGACGTAGGCATGAAATTATGCACATTTTCCACTTTCTTTCAGCAATATGCTCTTTTGACCTTTTTTATTTAAAGCAGACCCCACATTTCTACATATAACCCCCTTTTTCTCAATCTATTTAATCACAGTTTGTATATTTAAAGATATAATTTTCATCTTATTTTCACTTTTATATGTAATGAATCTCATTTGGTCTTTATATGCACTTGGAAAGATAATATAGTGCACTATTTAGACTTTTTGGTAACTATAAGGCATTAACAAGCTTAAAGAAAACTAGGTTCATATTTTGACAGTTTCTGATTTTTGACTATGCTTGCATTGCTTACTCTGTTTGATAAGTATCAATATGCACATTGAAATACTTCTCATTTTAACAGAGTGTTTCTTAATTTAGCCAAAAGAGAGCTTGAATATGTTAATATTAAATTTTTTTAGTGAAACACAAATCTGTTTCTTTAATTCAATCTTGGGTCTTAAATATCTTTGATTTTAAAAGCATAATTTATATACAAAATAAAAGATGTTGAAAAATTATTTTAAATTCTAATCACTCTCAATTATCAAATCATTAATGAAAAGCAAAAATTTTTTACATATTATGATTTACAAAACTGGATACATAAAAGTTCATAACATGAAAAAAATATATAAACAAATTAACGTTTTTTATATCCTGTACATATGTATGTATTGTATCAATATTACATGCAGAAATTCAATTTTACGCAATACAAAATTTAGTCATTATTAGTCATTAGTACATATGTTTTAGCCAGTATGTTAAAGTTTATATAATGTATGATAAATATGTAAACAAATAAAAAGAATTGTTCAACATAACAACTATATTTTCATCACACATATTCAAAATATTTCAGAAAAACAAAATTATTTTTACTGCATTTCAAATTCTTTAAAATTTCAACTTTTGAAAATTTACTTTTTAAATTTCTCATTCGAAATTTAATAATTTACAGAAATATGTAACTGGTATGTACCTTAGGAAATTTTAAATCAACCAAATCAAATACGAAATGATAAATAAAATTTAAAGAAAAATATATTAATTTATACATTTAAATACGCTAAATGTTAATATATCTAGGCATCAGTTAACAATATTTTTCTTCCCTTATAATCCATTCATGCTCAGAAATGTAAATGTATGAGCACACAAAACTATTTTATCTTTCATGGATTTCCATAAAGCCACAGATTCATAAGGACTTCATAGGAACTTGCTGTTAAATATTTCTTGCTTGCTTCTAAAATAAAAGAAGAAATTTTATGTATCCAGGAAACCTTTTAATACATACAGATACAACAAATACAGGTTATCATCATCATTTACCAGAAATAAATTCCCTTTATTTCTTTTACCCAGCTATGTTTAACAGAGTTGGATAAACCACTATAGAACAGATTCAAAGAACCAACTCACTTAGCAAATTTACTCTAACTCCAGAGCTCTCTCTGGAGAGAGAGCTACAACTCCAGAGAATAGAGTTGTAGCTCTTTTACAGTTCACATACAGCTTTTGTTGGAAGTGTGCCAGGAATAGTGATCTGTTACTCTTTCACAAACTCATTCTTTATACTGAGCTGGTGAATGCCTCAGTGGCGAAATAAAAATAGAAGAAAATTGGAAGCATGATAACTTCCTATTCTACAGGGAAAAAAAAAAAAAAAAATATATATTATATATAATATATATCTATATATATATTTATATTTACCTTCCCATGCTAAAAGTGAATTTTAATTTTATCATTTCCCAACTTCTTGAAAAATTTTCATCCTAGAATTTTAGAGAAATTAGGTATAGAAAAGAGGTAGGGAATCTTAAAACTACAGGTGAAAGAAATCAATTGAGAGAGATAGTGTTGAATCTATTTTTCTAGTCCCATGGCATATTTAATTATTTTCCCTCTTCACTCCAACCTCGCTAATCAGTCCCAATCCCACTGTTCATTTAAATCTTTCTGCTCTTCATTCTTGATTAACCCCTCGTTCCAGATCTTTTTCATCAAGGTTATTGGTAGTAAGTGGTGAGTTTCTGATTCATTTCAGTGAGTAAACAGTTCAGATCAAATAGTATAAAAAGAGTAGCTTTTCCCATCTCTAATGTACATAGTTGGAATACTGAAGACAGATGTTGATAACATAACTGTTAACAATAAAAGCCAATGCATTAAAGAAGTAGTTGGAGTACTGGCCAATTTTAGTATTACTTTATTCTTACACTAACATTTTTAAGACAACATATATAAATTGGCACAGTAAGTGCACCTGTGAAAGTTTCGCAAACTCTGAATTTCACTTCTTTTGATTGGTTGTTTGAGTAGACTTTGAAAAAACGACCATTCTTTTAAATCCAGAATAAATACAAAAATAAAGACAAAAACTAAAATGTTAAAAAGATTTTACTGTATCAGTTTCAGATAACTCAAGAGGCATAAAACTTTTAATTTCATTCAATGTTCCTGAAAAGATTTTTGCTTCTTCATGCTGTCGTCACTTCATGAATTTTATGAGGTAAGAACCTCAGATGCTTGCAACCAGCACTACGGTGATGTTTATTTCCTCGTTTTTCACATGGTACTCTGTCACTGCATTCCATGTATTTATGTTAAATTTGAAATTGTTCATATCGGGCAGATCCCAATTCATTTGCTTAAGCAACTGAAATTCCAGTAAAGAAAAATTCTGGATGAATGTTCATTTATCCCATTTATTCGTAATGACATCATTACATAGCTATTCATGAGGTGATGTACACAGAGTCTGACCCTCTGATGGACATTTGCGGGTTGGCATCACATTAAAAGAAATGTACCTAAATTTCATTTGTTTTATCACAACATATAAGGGTACACCCAAATAATTACTTCTGAATACTCAGATTATGCATCAGTTGTCTCTGTAAAATTCATATTACACTATCTTATCTTTACTCATATGAGATTAGCAGGTACACACACTAAGCATAAACTGCTGCCGATATACTATGGATAGGCTGCTAAATGGAAGAATTACAACAAAAGGTACTTAAATATTATCCCATCAACCATGAAAAACTACCATCAAACCACAAAAGTTGGAGATCCTGCCAAAGTTGCACCAACCATTCCTGCAGAATTCTGAACAAACTAATCCCTCTTCAGTTAATAAATAAATTAATGGCTCTTCAGTTAATAAACAATCAATATTTGACCCATGTTATGTTTGCACTTCATAAAAAGACTTTTGTAGACTTCTATTATTTTGTTAGGCTCTACAATTTTTACAGAAGCTTTAACTGTCTATTTCTCATTAATGGCCGTAAAATTAACTAATTATCCAAACTGAAAGCACAAATCCAAACTGAAACTCACTCTCCATTAAGAGAGAGAGAAAAAAAAGAAACAAGTTCTAAATTTTCTCTCACTAGTGGAACCCCTGGTGCCATCTAGTGGGGGAAAGAAATACTTTAAAATGAACACCCAGTAAACTATTATTTCATTATTTAGTTTGTATTGAATCTAAAAAGTAAAGATTAAGTTTGTAGAAGCTGCTGCACCCAGCTTTGCAAAATAGACATCAAAATGAGATCAATTCTTATTTTCATCAGTACTGGAGAGTAACTAGTGAGTCACAGACATGCTTTAAATACAACTGCATGGCAGGATTGTCCAAAGATTTGACCGCTGAGCTCCAAGAGACGAGGCCGGATTTTTTGGACTCCTGGTTTTGTCGAGGATTTCGTTATTCTGATAAGAATTTTTGAAGTTCGGGACTTGGAGGCCTGGCGGATCGGAGTACCTAGGTAAGATCTTTTTGTTTCTTGAGTATGCATTGCCGAGCCAAATCAGCCAGATAGAAGCAGATTAGGTTGGAGCCAGACATGTCAGAAATAGAGAGAGCTGATTTACGGTAATATCTAGATGAACAGCTTATCCGTAACTTACCGAAAAGTTTAATGAGATATATAATTTGATTAAGGAAAAGGTTCAATTAGAAAAATCAGGTTTGAAAGCACGACCAGTTACTAAGAGAATTCAACGTACAGTCAAAAGTCGTTAATCCAGACACCCATAATCCGGAATGATCTATAATCCGGACCTCAAAGCTACAAACTTTCTGCACATGCGTCAACGCATAATGCGTTAACACATGTGCATAGGCATTTACACATGCACATATGTGTGTGCGCATGTGCATAATACGTTTATGCATGTGCAATTTAATGTATAACAGACGGTATAAGCTAAGCTAAAATTATCTATTACAGTTAATGTTGCAGATTGCGCTGTTCCTTAATCTTCGAATTGGATCCGGCTTATTATTTTTTGCAGACTGTTACAGCAATTTTATAAAAGTAAGCTTGAACTTTCGATTATGTCAAATAGAATTCGATGCTGGAGCTGCCAAAGGATCTGCAAAGCGAAAGCATGTTAAGATGTCCATTACACAAAAAGTGGAACTGCTGCAAAAAATTGATAAAGGCATGAAGAATGTGACAGAGATGTGATTTGTTTCTTTAACTATTCCGAACTCTGTTTATCAATTTCACGCTGCTCTGTGGAAAGGGGGAGAAACGTTGGTACGCGCAATGAACTGGAAGTTGATCTGTCAGCACTATCCTCATCTTCAGGGCAGATGTTTTTATTTTATTTGGCTCATAATTCCTCATTAAATGTAGTGTTTCATCTTGATGTACTCCGATATAATTTAAATCAATTTCCTCATCATTATAAATATCTCGAATACACATCAAATAGTTTTCTGGTTGCAATTTTCTAATTTCGACTATGCATAATGTATGCTTTACGCATGCACGCGTTGAAAGAAATGTTTAATAAAGTAAAAAAATAAATATTAAAGCTTTTTTTTTTGTAAATTTTGATATCCTTTAGATCATAATTGCTCTTTGTTTCATAAATTACGGTTTCATATTTTTAATTTTATAATTTCTGCGTGCCATCTGACCAGATTTAACTGTTGATCTATAATCCAGAAAAACCAATAATCCGGAAACGCAGAAGTCCCGACGAGTCCGGATGAAAGACTTTTGACTGTATTTCAGAACAATTAAATGATTTCCAGCTAAGTATGCAAGCGCAAGAAACCTCTAAAATTAAGGGGATAAATTCTAAGCCTAAGAAGAAAAACGTGGTCGATGAGGACGTTTTTATTGCCCCTCAAAATTACCCTAAAAAGAACACGATCAGAGACAGAGATAAATGAACCCCCTCAGAAAAATTAATTTCGGATTTACAGGATGATAAAAAAATGGATAGTGCAGATACCGAAGGATTGCTCCTAAAAAGACAGCAAATCATGTTTCCCCAATCGTGTTAGATGACTTCAGTGGCGATTGGGATAAGTTAAAAGAGAGAATAGAGGAAGAATTAAATACTAGAAACTATAAAGGTAGAATGAAAGGAGATACCCAAACCATTCGAGCAAAAGCTCCTGACAATTACAGAGCGATCCCAAGCATGTTTGCAAGTGACAGAGTCCTCTTCCATACTTTTAAAATTAACTCAGATAGGCTGCTAAAAGCAGTGATTAAAAAAGTTACCCAGAACGATGGAAGTAGAAGTTATTGAAAACGAGTGGAAGGAGTTCAAAATACCTGTAGAAAAAGTGAGGCAGCTGACCAGCTATAAAGAAGGCCAGATAGTGAAGTTACCCTTGTTTCTAGTTGAAACCAAGAGGAATGATGATGATAGAAAGAAAATCTGGAATTTCGAAAAACTTCAAGGACGTGATGTTGTTGTCAGACAGTACAAGACGAAGCCTGGACCTGTGCAGTGTCAACAGGTGCCACTGTTACAGACACTCAAGAGAGCACTGCCATTACAGAGCCCGCTGCATGAAATGTGCAGGCTGGCAAAAATGTTTACATGCAAAACTCCCAAGGAGAAACTACCAGCGCACTGTGCGCTCTGTGATGGAAGTCATGTCTCGTTGTACAAGGGATGTGAAAAGTATCCTAAAGTCTGAAGAAAGGAACCCCAAACCTCAGCAAAAGAGCACGAAGCTAGATTTAATTTGAATAAAGATGACTTTCCCACATTGCTAGGTGGAAAGACTGATGAAAATGGCAAAACTTGGCCCAGCTAGGTGAAAGGCAAAAAACCTGAAGAGAACCTATTCGACTGGATCAAAAAGCAGCTTTGTAAAGTGAAAGTACTTTTTACGAAGTTTAAATCAGCAAAATTCCTAATGGGTAAAATTGAAGTCAGCATGGAAACTATAGAATACATTTCAAATATTGACTATGAAATATAATAACCAAGTAAACGCAACAAATCTGATTGATGCAACGCATTCTTTCTTAAGGATATCCCTTTTCAATGCAAATGGTGTTTTCTACAAGAAACTCGAATTAATAGACTTTTTATCGCACATGATATTGACATTATGTTGATAGGTGAAACTCACCTCAAGCCTTGTGGTAAGTTCAAAATCCCAGGATATAGTGATATTAGAAGTGATAGACTTAGAACAACTCGCTGGAGGAACTGCAGTTGTGATCAAGAATCACATTAAATTCAACACAATCAAGCTCCCGAGGATGACAAGATTAGAAGAATACACTGAAATTCTTGCTAGCAGTATGACCAATGAGAATTATAGTGGCAGCATACAACCCCTCCCCGCCGAGTGATATAAACTTGCAGGACTTTGATATTTTAATTTCCCTACTGTACTTGCAGGTGATCTAAATGCTAAAGATCGCTCCTGGGGAACCAGGATGGGTAAAAGAAATGGTAGACTGCTCAAAAACTATATCTATGCAAATAACTTACAGCTAGTCACCCCAAGTGTCGCTGTCGCAGCTAGTCACCACTACTTTCTACTGTCGAAGGAACGGAGACATTTTGGATATTGAATTATTCAAAAGTATTAGTCAGACTCCCTACTTAGAAGTCAAAAAAGAATTGTCGTCTGACCACTACCCTGTAGCTTTGATTTTCACGGCTTTTACCCTGACCCTCCAAAGAAGTGCACTAAAGTAAATTGGGCCAGCTTTATAGATAAACTACGGAACATGCCTTGTAACTCCCATCTAAGAGACTGTGGAGAAATAGAAAGTAAAATTTATTCGCTAACTTCCAAACTTCAAAATGCAATCAAGAGTTCTTCATATGCATGCAAAGATACCCTGAGTATAATAAACTCCCTGATGAAAGTTCTCGCGACATAAAGGAAAGGAATTGAATTAGGAAGCGGTTTAATGTTATGCAAGATCCTTCACTTAAAAGGACTGTAAATTAACTCAACAGAAAAATTCAAGCTGACATTATGGAATTCAGATCAAGTAACTGGGATAATCTTTTAGAGCATTTTAGCACTGATACTAGCACTATGTGGAAAATTGTGAATATGATGAAAAAAGATAGGATCTATCACATCGTTTCCAAATAGTGGGATGCACCCACTATTCTGAAGAAGATATAGCCATAGCCAATGTGTTCGCAGAGAAACTCGAGGAGATGTTCAGGCCCAACCCCTCGATCAACTCACAGAATGATGAAGAGGTTCAAAATGAAAGAGATAATATGGATTATATAAAATTCATCTCCCTGAAAACTCGAATTAGTCCTTACTATCATTAAACATCTCAGTACCAAGAAAGCTCATGGGTTTGACGGAATCAGCAATCATACATTAAAGGCCCTCCCTCCAAGGTGTATAGTGCTCCTTACAAACATCTTTAATGCTTGCATCAGGACGAGTTACTACCCATCACAGTGGAAACACTCGATAATTATCACCATCCTGAAGCCAGGGAAAAAACCTCACTAGCAGACAGTTATCATCCAACCAGCCTTCTTCCGGCTATCGGAAAATGTTTTGAGAAAGCTTTAAACAATAGAATCACTGACCACCTAGAAAGATTGGATCTGATAAACCCGAGCCAATTTGGTTTCCAGAAACACCACAGTACTACTCATTCAGGTGCTAAATATCGTTGAGTTTATCATAAGAGCTTTTTTCCACAAAACTGGTGTGGCAGCATGCTTTATAGACCTTGAGAAGGCCTTCGACAAGGTCTGGCATGAAGGATTGATTTATAAGCTAAATAACTTTATGTTTCCTGTCAGCCTTGTGAAGTTAATCATCTCAATCCTAAAAAGAAGAACCTTCCAGGAGCAAGTTGGAGACTCCCTTTCCCGAAGAAAAATTATCTCAGTGGCGTCCCGCAAGGGTCTGTTATTGGCCCAAAATTATTCAACATTTTCATTAATGATTTACCCAACCCTATGAATGCTAAAACCCTGAAATACACTGATGATACGGTGATTTTATCAGAATCTAAAAGCCCCCAAATTGCTCTTACTAACCTACAGTTCCACATCAACATTGTCGCCGCCTGGTGTCAACTTTGGAGAATAAAAATTAATACTGTTAAATGTAAAATTGTCCAATTCCATCGCTACAGAAGAAATGTCATCAAGAACACTGATATCAAGACAGAGAATGATTTGATTCCAGTTTGCTCGTTCACAAAGTACTTGGGAGTTACCCTCGATGACAGATTTACTTTCAAAGAGCACGTAATCAACCAAGCAAATAAAGCAAATGGAGTTTTCATGTCGCTTTATAATGTTATAGGAAGGAAATCGAAACTGAGTTTAAAAGCAAAACGCATGATCTATCTTACAGTGATTAGGCCAGTAATGCTCTATGCCACCCCAGCATGGAAAATTGCTAATAAAATGGAAAAGGGAAAACAAGAAGTCCTTCAAAACAAAATACAGTCAAAAGTCGTTAATTCGGACACACATAATCCGGAATGATCTATAATCCGGACCTCAAAGCTACAAATTTTCTGCGCGACGCATGCGCGTAAGACCTTTACAGTTGAGAATATGCATGTGCGTATGTGCAAAATACGTTTATGAATGCGCATTTAATGTATAACGGATGGTATAAGCTAAGCTAAAATTATCTAACTCGGTTAATGTTGCAGATTGCGTTGTTTCTTAATCTTCGAATTGGATCCGGCTTATTATTTTTTGCAGACTGTTAGAGCAATTTTGTAAAAGTAAGCTTGAACTTTTGATTATGTCAAACAGAATTTCTGATATATATTTATTAATATGTAAATGATCTACAAAGCGAAAGTATGTTTTGAAGTCCATTAAATAAAAAGTGGAATTGCTGCAAAAAATGGATCAAGGCAAAGGGGGGGGGGAAAGCCGCGGTGCGCAATGAATTGGAAGTTGATCTGTCAGCACTATCCTTATCTTCAGGGCAGATGTTTTTATTTTATTTGGCTTATAATTCCTTACTAAATGTAGTATTTCATCTCTGTACTCCGTCTTTGATATGATTTAAATCAAATTCCTCATCATTATAATTCGTTTCCGATAGCGAAGAAAGCGACACAGAGGTTATTGAAAATGAAAAATTTCGTTTGACAAATTAGTCGGTATTCTCGACACAGCAATTATAGGACTTAAACAGCGGAACTTTGTAACTGAACAAGAAATTATGTCTGTTTAAAGAATTAAAGAGAATGTATTATCACATTAAAAAACGAAGCAACTTAAACAGCTTACATTGAAAGAAATGTTTAATAAAGTAAACAAATAAATATTAAGCTTTTTTTTTTTTTTTTTTTTTTTTTTTTTTGTAAATTTTGATACCCTTTAGATCATAATTGTTCTTTATTTCATAAATTACGGTTTCATATTTTTAATTTTATAATTTCTGCATGCCATCTTACCAGATTTAAACTGATGATCTATAATCCGGAATCGCCGAAGTCCCGACGAGTCTGGATTAACGACTTTTGACTGTATTGTATATACTATGTTTTTATTCATATATAATCTTAGTGTTTGTGTTTGTAATACCATATTTAACAAAGAACTGTTATACTGCTAAAATTGGCTTAATGCCTGGCCGAGCAGGCTAGAGACTCTGCATTAATTAGTATGTGTAAAGAATTGTGTATCATGTGATCTCACCATGCCCACCGCTGTGGTTCTACTTCTGATTCGCTGCTAGACTGCTACAAAAATACTCTCAGTAACCTTACGCTACTATCCTGATTGGATGCTTCATGCATGAACTTGAATACTGGATGCTTTTTATTTTCCTATGAACTAATTTTCCTTTTTGCCAATTTTTTTGCCAAGTACTCGACTTTGTCATGGACTAACTGCAGCTTGTTTCAATGTCATGCCCCTGGATGAGGTGCAGTAACACCCTAATGATTTTAATACTACGAATGGCCTTTATAGGCAGATACAGATTGAACAGGTCAAAACTCACTGTATTTGTACACCTGATTTGAAACAGACATAAAGTCATAAAGGATTATGAAAAATGTTATCAAAATTAAATTAGGGGAATTAAAATTTCGTATGTTAATGTTTAAATTTAAAAAAAAAAACAAATATTAGATTTAATAGGCTTCTTTTGCATTTTTTAATAGTTTTTACAGTCAAATACACAGAAAGCTTTTTATTTTAAATAAATTTTGTATTTATTTTAAAAATCAGTATGAAACTGCTCATAAAAATATATGAATACTGCATCTAATCTTACCTTTAAAAGAGGTAATAGAATCACAAAGCTATACTGAACAGTAAGCAAATAAACCCAATATGCTCATATTTTGCCATTAGACACAAAGACATTCCTAAACGCAAGGCCTTCGTCAGAACTTTCTTTTCCAAAAGAAGAATTAACACAGAAAACCATGTTGGCCGCTCTCGTCTTTCAACAGCAGAGTGAACTGTAATGAAACAAGAAGATGAGCAATTTTTCTGTATAAAACACTACATTATAACTTATTCATAGCTTATATTTAAGATGGTATTAATTAAAAAAAAATTGAGAGGTACATATGAAGATTTCTGATCTTAAAAAAAAAAAAAAAAAAAAAAAAAAAAAAAAAAAAAAAAGGTCAAATCATTATTATTATTGCTGTTGTTGTTTTTGAGATTTATCACTCTCTTCATTTAAGAAATATGGTACAAAGTCTGAGATCTGGAGAGGTAGTGAAGACGTGTTTGAATTTCAAGTGTTAAAAGATATTGCAAAAGACAATGTTGATCATAATTCTGACACTTCAAGTAGTGGTTCCAAAATTATACTACCAAAGAGATGACAAATGAGAATCAGTGAAAGTGAAGATGAAGTTTATCTTTAATTAGTTAGCTCAGAAATTTTATCTTAATCTAAATGCTTATCACAAATAAAAATGAAAATATATAATAAAATAAATCAACTTATGTATTGATTAATATCAACATTATATCACACTTTACACATTTTCAAATAATATACTTAAGTTAATAAATTATTTTACCATACTATTGATCCACAAACTAATTTAATAATATTTAAATATCCTTTTGTACATTCTTTATATGTTTCTGTTAATATGTTTAACATTTTTATGAATGTAAACACTATATTTTATGTGATTAGCATAATTTTAAGTTTGAATAAATGCAAATATATTACGCTTGTTGCTAAATGTTTTTCATCAAACTTGAGACAAAACCCAAAATCCTGTAGACTTTCTCAATTCTTTGTATAAAAATATAACTGCATTCATCAAGATGATACAAATAAAATTTATTAAATGAAGAAGATAATGAAAAATGCTAAAGTTTATTTCCTCAACATAATTTATCATGTTGAATTATTTTAAGAGTTAATACAATAAACATTAAACATGTAATACTAAGTTATCTTTAAAAAAATTATAATAAAATTCACTAGAACTGCAGCAATCATTTTTTTTAATAAACACTTATACTATATATTTGTATAACTAAACTTCCTAAAGTTTACAGTTAAAATACCTTTTTTTTTTTTTTTTTTTAACATTAAGATTCAAAAGATTTAAATGATTAAAAAAATCAAAGAAATCTCAGTTTTTGAACCTTAAATCTTTCTTAAAATTTATGGAATTAGAAAATTTGATATGGTGTATAAGATGTCATGTATTATGAAGACATTTAATAATTTTTTTAATATGTTTGCATGCATGTCAACACTAAGTTTGTTCTAGTTACATGTTCCAGAACATTAATTTTGCTTCCATTCCAATTTAAAATTCACAGAAATATGACAAAACTAATGACACACTCAGACAGATTTTTAACAATACATAAAGCTTTACATGGGTTATATATCTGCAAATACATTTGTAATATTTATCACATTGCAATGGATGCATAACGAGTCACAAATTAAAACTATTTTACATTTTTTATGCTCACATCTGAAAATTCATCTTTCATGGCTTTTTTATCCTTCATAACTATAGTAATTTTACCAAAAAAAAAAAAATTCTGTTTGTATCATCTTGAAGAATGCGGTTACATTTTTATAAGTCAGAAAAATAAAGTCAAAATATTTGTGTAATGCTCAATTTCGTTACAGATGGCTTTTAGTAAAAGTAGAATGAATTACCCTGGCACTTTTCTGTTATGCACTTCCCATGTATTTTGATGATATTTTAACACAATGTGTGTGTTTAATCATTCTTGTTTACACGCACACACATATATCCATACAAACCTCAGATGATGCTATTGCTGGCTCTTGGTATGTGTTTGGCTTCTCTTTCATAGGGGTAAAAAAGAATGGGCAGATGTATAATGGAAAAGTATCAAAAATCATCCTTAGTTTGGCCTTGATTTTGAGGGTGAACAGACAGTTCATCCTCTTCAGGAGTAAAAAACTGCTTACCAATTCCCCCTTTCCTAAAAAAGAGGAACCTTTATCTGATTACCTTCAAAATCTATGCCAATTTATGGTTGCTTTATTACCTGATTTTAAATTTTACACTGCATATTTTGCTCTCATTTCCTTATACATTACAAATCTTTATCACCAGACTACACATTTTATATTATCAGCGACTACAGTATTGCTAGAAGATATTAGTACTCAATACTACTGCAGAAGGTTACTAAAAAAAGCTATTATAAATATAGATTCCTATTCTCGTTAACAGTCTATAACGTCAGCACTGCATTTCATTCAGCTAAAGAATATTTCCATGACAAAATAGCAAATTAGCTGAAGGGGGAAAAGAGGAGGACATGTACTGGCTTGGTTAACATATCAGTCTGATGTCCCAACAGCCACAGAATAGCAAAATACCATCAAAAGGTTACCATTTATTATGCTTAACGGAAAGGTTGACGTTAGCGCTGTAAATGAAAGAAATATATGAAATTTTACTTTCATCGAATGTAAATAATGATATTTTTGAAGTGAAGTTACTAAATGTTCGTTGATTCAGGTATATAAATTAACAAAAGATCTGTAGGGGAAGTATTCAACCTAACCATGTAAATTAAGAACAAAAATGAATAATTTTTAAGTAGTGTGATAAAGATTAACAGTATAATCTAACTACGAAATCTTGCAATAATTTCATTATTCACAGGTGAAAAAGAAAACAAAAATAAATCTTCAAACCATTAAACATTCTCTTAAATATACTGTGAGTAGTATAGTACCAATCTTGCCGTAATGTAAACATTTTTAACGACGGAGATTACACAGCGGCCATCATACATTGTGACATCACATTGTTGATATTTCCTTGTCCCAGGCATCCGCCAAGTCTTTTTGCTCGCAGGGAAAAAAAATAAAGTTTCGGTGCGAAGATAAGAAAATTGGAAAAAAGCAATTTTATTGCAGAGGAAATTAATTTCAGAGCACGGAATTTAGACTTAATACGGAATAGTGGGTTAAAAAATAAGGCCAATACAATATTAAAAAAATAATTATGGGCCTGAGTAACAGAAGTACGAAGGAACCTAATCATGAATGAATGTGTGTTAGAGTACAATGAACAATGTGACAAATAAACAGAAGTCCAAGTGACTTATGATGTCCCTAGTGTTGTATTGCAAATATATAGTATGTTGAGTGAGGTGTTTCAAATACTAACCTAATGTAAATGATATAAAAAACTGGATGCTTCGTTCCAGTAATTGAACACTCCTGAACCTATGTTTCTTATCAAAGGAAAAAACGAAGCTTAAAAAAAAAAAAAAAAAAAAAAAAAAACTCTGATTAGGTGGGTGACTTTTAGAAAATTTTTTAACAGATCCAGTTAAAATAGCAGGCAAAGCCAAAGGGCTAAAAATGGTTTCCAGTTCAATAGGAGTTTAAAGTCTAGTCAAGAATCTAACTTTAAAATAAAATAATAAAGTAAAAAAAGGAGTCCAAACGTATGCTTGCTGAGACAAATGGCAACAAAGAAACACAAACAGAGAAGAATAGATTTCATACATTTTTTAGAACACAGCAGCAGACAAAAGTAGATATCCATACACAATTTAAGTAACAAAAAGGACATCAGTAGTAAAAATTAAGATACAGACGACGACGAAGATCGTATTTTATTTTCGAATGTCTAGATGTAAAAACATCTTCTTACTCGGCTTCTAATGAGCAATCTAGAGGGAAAAGAAAGGCCCAGGTCTGAACATCTACTGCCTCCTTTCCATAGAGAATATATTTCCATAGCCGTCTGATATGCTTTAAAGTGCACATCATCTCTTAAAATCAAATATGCTAGCTTAAGCTGCAAAACGGTAAAGGCCTAGAACTCGATCGCATTAATAACTGAGCACGTAAGCTCTTTCCTGTTAATAATTGTATCTGAAAATAGCATAAGAGTGAATAAATTTGATAACTGCAATAGGACGTTTAAGAAAGTCAGTGCTTACACTATTGAAATTTCAGCATACTTTGAAATTATATGTGAAGAAAGAATAAACATGGTAGAAAGAATAAAATTATGCACATTGGTATGTCTTTGCTTTCAAAGAATAAATTTTTCAAATAAAAATTTGAGGATTTATGAATCAAGTTGCATAGTTTGAACATGAAATATTTCAACAATGCCTATAGAGACCTCATAAAACTATTTTGTAGCATTTTCAAAATTATCATGTAAATTACTTCTTAATAAAATTCAAAGCTTTAAAAAATTACTCTCACTTCAAAGAGAAAATGCTTTGAAATTTATAATATTTACGAAGTACAGCAAAATATAATGGATTCTTTATGGATTACTTTCTATCTGCTTAATTTTTCAAGCAAATAAGATTTTTCTTGACTAATTATATATTCTTAAAAAAAATTATCATTAATAGTTTTGCATTTATTAGAATAAAAGTGAAGAGTCTTTTTATGGAATGTTCCACCAGATAGCGCTCCACGCAAAGTTGTTGTTAAACAAAAAACAAAAGTGATGTGATGGTTGTAGTAAAAGCTCTGCAGGCAGTAAACGCAGTGAGGCAGAATTTCTCTGACGGAAGTGATTCTGATGCAGCTCCCCCCTGTTCCGTTTAATTGTTCAAGGATACAGATATTAGCTTGAAATAACGTCATTAGGTCCGGCAGTGTTTGGTTTAAAAGTAATGTCATCCGTACGTCCGATTTTATGCATGTAACTGCGGCAGTTGCACATCATATTAGCATTAGAATTATAACCTCACTAGTGAGTAAGTACTCTTTCATCTTTAATCCTTTTCATCTTCGGTTTCTGTGAAAGACTATAGATTTTAAAACTTTTATGGAAGAAAAATTTTAAATTTGAGGAGTTTTCTGTTCAGTGCACAATAAAATTATAAAATTGATAGTTTATGCTAGTTTTATATCTGTTTTTAGTCAGTATTTCCATTTTATATATATTAAATTTGCATGCTAGTTCTCTGTCAATAAATACCAACTGTATTAATTAAATAAATATTAATGCGGCAGAATTGTAATTACCTAAATATTAGTTGCAGAAAACTCCATCTTTCCTACACAAAATTTAATAATAAAATTCTAGGATAAAATTTTTTCCAAAAGTTGTGAAAAGATAAAAATTAAATTGACTTTTAACATGGGAGGATAAACATTCCTTTGTCCCTAAAATAGAAATCCAATAGTTTAATCCTAGTATATGGTACATGGGGGATTTGGATGATGAACAGTAAACGAGCCATTTTGGTGTTGTCAACTGTTTTCAAAATTGTGTCAAAGCCATACGGTAAACTAGGATTTTACCAGTGCAGTTTTCTTGGAATGCTTTTTTTTTTAAGAGTTAGCCTTTTACTTTCTCAGTAAAGTGAATAAGTTCATGAATAAATATCAGATGGCTATTTCTTGCCTGCTTCCATCAAGAACTGTCCATGAGCTGTAAAAGAGCTACACCTCTGTTTTCTGCAATCAGATAAATTTGCTCTATAAAGTGAATCATTTCTGGAGTAGGTCATCCAACTGTACTAGGACTTGATCTGAGCCCTAACAACTGCATTTTGATTCGTAAAAATACTGGGCTGTGGTAATTTGCAGCGGAATAGATTGCTGAGTAATTCAAGAATTTGATGAAAGTACTTAAGATTATAATGATTTGGAGCCCAGTTTTGCATTATTTTCATTACCAAAAACAAATGAATAAAAAAATACACAAATTGAGCTAACTGATTTGCACTGTGATGTCAGTTAACTTTTATGTGTACTTGTCAGATAAATAACCTCAGTTACGAATTTTTGCGAGAAGAATACATGCTTTGTTTGGGAATACATTCATGTGTGAATAGTTGTTCTCCATAAACGAAAATTCACAAGTCTAAGAAAAGAACCAGTTTGTTGGAAGAGCATTTGTGATCAAGATAGTTTCTAATAATTTTCCTCCAAGGTTACTCTAACAGAATCGAAACCCCATGAAGTATTGTACGTAAAAGTTGTAGTAAGAAATAGCTCGCAAGAAACAAGTTTTGTTCCACTTGGAAAGTTTTTGTATCTTAAAAGTAAATTATTTAGTAGCTAATTCAAAACATTAGAATCATTTAAAATAAATGTCTGCCTGAGAACTTAATATTTAACTGTCAATACTTTTGTATTATAAAGTGTATGGCAAAAAATGTCTCAGGTCTTTTAGATTTCAGACAGAAAATAAAACACATTTGTTTTTTTTTTCTTTCATCATTATTATTACCGTTCGTCATTATTGTTCATTACTTTCATCATTGTTATTTTTTGTCATTATTTAGGTACTTGCATTTTAATAAAACCATTTTTTTACAGATGAAAAGGTAAAAGTTATTTATTGGTTGCAAATTGGTGGTTTTCACGATTCCCAGGCTATCGATATTTGTCATAACTAGATAAACATTATCAATATGAAAAAAAAACATACTTTAGCAATGCGATACGTTAAAAAATAAAATGCTTCCGCAAATCTTTAATCTTTTTTTGTGCTATTTTTCTTGCGAAGTACACAGTGATCTGTTTTCACTTAAAAAACATACGAGAATTGCAGACACTCGAGTTTGTGCAACCCTCGACAACAGCAGCTATTGAGGAAATGCATTTCCTTGTTCTTCCCTTTAGAAAAATTTCAGCAAAATTCCATATTCTTGTAGAAATTTTGCCACAATTTCTTCCATTGGTGGTAAATTCCACAAGCTCATATTTTAAAATTAAGGGGGGAGGAAATTGCATGATTTATTTATACAGTCAAAAGTTTTTAATCCGGACTCGGCGGGATTCCTGTGATTCCAGATTATCGATTTTTCCGGATTATAGATCATCAGTTTAAATCTGGTAAGATGGCATGCAGAAATTATAAAATTAAAAATATGAAACCGTAATTTATGAAATAAAGAGCAATTATGATCTAAAGAGTATTAAAATTTACAAAAAAAGCTTAATATTTATTTGTTTACTTTATTAAACATTTCTTTAAACGCACGCATGCGTAAAGCATACATTACGCATAGTCGAAATTAGAAAATTGCAACCAGAAAACTGTTTGATGTGTACTCGTAATATTTATTATGACAAGGAATTTGATTTAAATCATATCAAAGATGGAATACATCGAGATGAAATACTGCATTTAGTAAGTAATTATAAGCTGAATAAAATAAAAACGTCTGCGCTGAAGATAAAGATAGTGCTGACAGATCAATTTCATTGCGCCGCGACATCCCCCCTGAAATCTGTTTATCAATTTCCCGCAGAGCAGCGTGAAATTGATAAACAGATTTCGGAATGGTTAGAGAAACAAAGAATGTGCCTTTCTCCATTTTTTGCAGCAATTCGACATTTTGCTTGATGGACATCAAAACATACTTTCGCTTTGTAGATCCTTTGGCAGTTCCAGCATCAGAAATTCTATTTGACATAATCGAAAGTTCAAGCTTACTTTTATAAAATTGCTCTAACAGTCTGCAAAAAATAATAAGCCGGATCCAATTTGAAGATTAAGGAACAACGCAATCTGCAACATTAACTGAAATAGATAATTAGATAATTGTAACTTAACTTATACCGTTATACATTAAACGTGCATGCGTAAATGTTTTTTATGTGCATGCGCACACGCATATGCACTTGCGTAAAAGTATTATGTGCGTGCATAAACACGTATGCGCATGCGTGAACGCATTATGTGTTGACGCATGTGCAGAAAGTTTGTAGCTTTGAGGTTCAGATTATAAATCATTCTGGATTAACGACTTTTGACTGTAATACCTTGGAATACAACATAATATAATGCATATAAAATAGACCAGCAGTTGTCAACCTTCTGTCAAACGCG